ATCCTTTGGAGCTTGGTGGATCCAAAATTAAGTTAATGCTTAACTTGACTCTGCTAGTGTGTGAACTCTGCCCAGTCTGTGAACAATACAGAAACAATTTAATCTTTAAAAATATAGACTAGAAATACTGTGACGGTACGACACCCCTAACAACCCCCGGGGTGTGTGTTCTGTTAAGATACAGCCTATTGTGCCTTAAAATGGCTTCTACTGTATTGCCTTATAACGACTTCTTCTGTACAGCTCAGAGGAGTTTCCATGGTAACGGTTTCACAGTACTCCACAAGGGGGCTCCCTCTAGTAAGTGGGAAAATCCAACATTAGAAATTACACTTCTGGGGGCCCAGGGAAAACATTTTTAATGAATTTAATTGTCGCCAAAACCAGGGCTCAGGGAGAAGTTGCTCTTGCCATCACCTCTTCAGGAATTGCGGTGATGTCAATGGAAGGAGGGAGGACAGCCCATTCCACACTTACCTTGCCACTTGACATCGCCAGTCCTGTCTAATACAGGATTGGGATAAATAAACACTCGGGCAACGCTGGGTTATCAGCTAGTGTATTATATAAAGAAATGTCAAATAATTACAAAAAAATAAAATAGAAGTAAAAGGAATTTTTGGAAGGACCAGATGCTGCATAGAGCATACCGCATTCTCGCGCAACTCCGCAGTCTCTGAAAATTGCACAAATACAGAGCATGCTTTTGAGAATAGTTGTTGTTGGGTGTCGGTGAATGCTGGCATGCCACCCAAACACCATAGTGTGTTACTTCTGACATGCATGTCACAGATTTGCCGTACGGTATATAGTCATCTCAATTGCAATGGTAGGGGCAGTTTGGTGTAATGGTAAGACATCAGGCTAGAAACCACGAAACCCTGAGTTCTAGTCCTACCTTAGGCATTAAGGTGACTCTGGATCAGTCATTGTCTCAACCCTAAGAAGGAGGCAAGGGCAAATTACTTTTATATTCTCCCCACCTCTCCCAAAAATGTCCTTAGAGCCACCAGAAACCCTGCTGCTCTCAAGAGTGCTTAAAGTGTAAGTGGAAATCTCACAAGACTGTATTTTTTTTTCCTCTTTGTCCCTCGTGAGAACTTAGGAGTCTCTTTTGAGAGCTGCTTAGGCATGGGTAGAGGAGGAAACTCATTTCATTTGGATTTCAATTTGCCCTCTTGAACCATCATGCAGAGAATGACGAGAATGCACTCGTTCACATGCTGAAATCCCCATCGTTCAGAATTCACTTGGCAATTCCAACTTTTAAAAAAAGGCATGTCACACTGTAGGTTTATTTTGACAAGGGAATGAAAGGGCATCCCAAACTATATTTATATTAGGGACATTTTCCTTGCAAAAAATTGACACACAAGGAGAAATATGTGCATTTCGGATGCAGGCTTTCCTAGTTGCAAACTGAATTGAAATTGGGTAGATGCATTTAACTGTGGGCAGAAGGGGAATCAGATTTGATTGCTTATTTGTACCCTATGACTATCATTAAGTGTTGTGCCTTAGGATTCTTGATGAATGTATCTTGTCTTTTTATGTTCACTGAGAGCATATGCACCAAAGACAAATTCCTTGCGTGTCCAATCACACTTGGCCAATAAAGAATTCTATTCTATTCTATTCTAGTCTAGTCTAGTCTAGTCTAGTCTAGTCTAGTCCCTTCTTTGAACCATTTCTCCTACACTGTGCTGGACATATGCACCCTGTATGCCTGGTGCCATACAGCCAGGATGAGAAAGCTTTGTATTTTTTCCCCCTTGTTATTAGACTCCAAGTTCCATCAGCTCCAGCCAGCCTG